AAAAAAAATGGATTCTTACCTGTTTGACGTACTTCAAGCTCTCCGCAACAATGTCGCTCTCGGTTGGGAGCGGCTGCACATATGTGTTGTGAGAGTGGAGGCGTCCTTCGACGAAGCTGGTAGTGCGTGTGAACATCGCACCAACTGCAGAGTAGTGTGAGACAGTGGCGTGGTTTGGAGGGAAACGACTTACCACCAATCTCTGTGAGAGCATCGCGCTCATCGTGCTCGACTTTAGCTCCAGACGGGTCCACGGACGTCAACACTCGCTTGGGCCTGTCAAATGCTCCGCTTGCGGGCTTGGACCAGTGAGGATAGAACCAGATGTACTGCTTGTCCTTGAGTCCCTTGGCAAGATTCAGCGACAACCAATCCGCATCTGGAGCTGGCTCGGCTGAGTAGGAGTCTGCAATCGGAATGTCCTCTTCTTCCTCGAAAGTATCTTCGTCGGTGCTCTCATGTTCCCATTTAGTAGCATGCTCTTTGCCGACATCTGCGCCCGATGCTGGTTTCCGCTTGCCCTGCTTACTCGGAGCTTTCTCCTGACTTGGGACTGCTGCCTCGGTTGCTTGCTCAACACCCTCTATCAAGACATTTAGCTCTTCTTGAGTGAAGAGGGGCAGATTCACTGGCTTTATGCTAGCGGTACTACGGGTAGCATCCTGGAGCATCTTGAGTGCTTTTCGAGCAAATTCGTATAAGGGCTCCTCAGCACCGGTCGATAACAGGTCGAGTCGGCAATCGTTGAGAAGCTCATGGCCCTGATCTATGTCGCCGAGGATGGGGTCAAGCTTCTTCAGGGTGTCGTAAGTCTTTGCGTCTGTGTTCTTCAAGTGTCTACGGTTCTGTTTCCGGGTAAGTGATACTGTTGTGTGGTGTAGGAGGTGACGAGCATTACCTGAGCTATGCGAAGCAGTGTCGCTATGCTCTTGTCGACCTTGTTGGTTGCGGCCTGAGCGCTGTCTACGTCGGCTCTGTTCACAAGTCAGCCAGTGCAGCCGTTGGTACCTGTGATAAGCCTACTTTTGAAGGATCTCTGCCTGGACGTCTGGCTTGGAAAGGAGCTGTCGAAGCAAGCTCCTCGCTCGCATCACGATGCCACCGTCCTGTCCTTCGATGGAAGCTGCGTAGCCCGGCAGAAAGTCTTCGTAGATTTCGTAGAAACCAGGCAGGTAGATGCCGACCAGCCATTGCGTGCGGAGCTTTATAGCAGAAAAATCGAGAAGACCTGGGTCATGGAAGTCATCAACCACGAGACGTTGGAAATTTTCGTCAAAGGAGAGAGCAATGCTGATGAGACCGCGCCAGTCAGCGTGCACTTGCTTGAGTACTTCTTTGTCCCCATTCGCTTTGGCAGCGATGCTTGAGTTGGGAACGCTTAGGGCGTAGGCGACTTGGATCTCGTCGAGAAGCGCGTCGTTATTTTCGTTAGGATCGTCTATCTCATGGCCTTCACCGGCACTGCCAGCTGCTGGCGGTTTGGCAGAAGCTTCTGCTTTCCTTCGAATGTCTTCGAATGGGTCAGAAGTCGGAAAGTATTGTGGACCGGGGAATGGAGTGGCCATCTTCGGTCCGAAGTGCGTGAACTGTATCGTCACAGCCTATGCGTCTCGTCAGTCGACCTGATGTGAGCGATTCTAGAGGGCGACAAGGCCGAGATATCACTCAGCGGTGCTGTCAGGCCCAGAGGGTTTGGCTCACGTTTGTTGGCGAAAGGGTTTGTGGAATTGTGTAAAGCAATGGTGGTGGAGAATGTGGATGGTCGAAAAGAGAACAGGGAAAAGAGCTCGCTGTTCAGTGCACGCTAGCGGTGAACATTCCCGATCGGGTGACGGCATGTGATGTGACCACTTCGGTGAAGGGATGGAACTCATCTGCGGAACCGGATGGAAGAAATGAAAAGTCACCCACCAACATAAATATTTAACTACAAGCAACCACTCCAGCGTAGACGCCGCCTAGCATTGGACGGTACTGCGACAGAAACTCCACGATGGCTTCCCAGGCTCCGCCGCGGCCCGCTAAGCGTACATTATCAGACGCATCAAGAATGATGGTAACCGGAACCGCACGCCGACAGCGGCAGGGAACCGAGCCGCCCGAAACGAGACAGCTTTCCGGTCAAGCTCAACCTGCTTCTAGGCCAGACTATGTGTCTGAGGACGACTTGATCTCTGAATGCGAAGACGCAGGGCGTAAGAAGTCTGCGGAGAACAACGAGATTCCCATACCAGGACCAGGTACGTCTTTGTCTTTCTAGCATGACGAAGAGAGGTGTCTTGCAGTGAGGATGCTACTTTCGAAGCCACAGCTAATATTATGTCCTGGTACAGCGGCCTTGGGGGAGCGTTGGCTCGATACGCTCGCTCTCCATCTAGTGCTTGAGCCGGCGTTTTTCAGACTGATGATAAAGCCTCCTCGTGCGCAGTGCGTCTCGCTGAGTCGCTCGTGGCTTTCAGCCGTACACCTCCAGAATAGATACGCCAACCACACTGGCTTCGGGGTAGGAAACAGTCAACCCCAGTAAGCTACACCCAAGATGCTAACGAAACACAACACAGAACTGGGAGAATCAGTGGTTTCAACCGAACGAGCAGGAAGTCTTAAGACGTGCGATGAAGTACTACGACGAAAATGTCATCATGCCTAATTTGAAGCTCGAGATCTTCAGCCGGGGCATACCAGTCCGATCGCAAGAAAACAAAGAGATGTGCCGCAGAATGATGCTGCTTCAGAAGTCGAGGCTGGCGATCGCCGAGACTCACACGTCATGCACTGCTCTGGAGCGAAGCCTAGTAGTCAAGATATGGAGCTCCCGCGGTGACGACTCCGACATCGATCGCATAGAGCGGCTCCGAGCCGCCAAGTCAGAGCTTCGCAATATTGCGGGACAATCTGAACTTGACCAAACAGGGACAAGGTTGCTCAAGGGGTGGCTTGAAGGGATAGGGACGAACGGACTTTGCGGTGTTCTCTATGAACTACCTGGAGATCAAACCGTTAGCAAGATCGGAACGTCCAAGTACCAGCTCGATAGCAATCTCTTTGCGAACCGGATCATGAAGGTCAAAACTTTCGTCCCAGAATTTTATTGCGGATGGCGCCCCGGAAGTTGCTCGAAGCTCTTCATCGTCCAAACCGGCAACGTCCCGGAAAAGCTGGTCATTACCAGACCTAAGGATGACGGCAAAGACGAGTATGCAGCCGCATCAAGGGCCGAGCTCTTGCAACTGGACAGAGATCTCGCAAAGGTACGCAACGCTCTTATCTCCAATGAACCTTGCTCTGACCGCGACAGGAATTTGAGGCGAAGTGGGGAAAAATTCCAAACGCCAAAGTAGTTCAAGAGATTTACAAAGCATTTGAGATAGTTGTTGAGCGACCGTTGCAGCTCCTTCGAGCGTATAGCAAAAAGGCCGCATGGGCTACCGACATCAGCAGGCTGAGCCTTCTATTCGTCCGAGACAACGTCTACCACTGCCGGCTGCTACTAAATCAGATTCGCTGGACCGACTTGTTCGCGAAAAGCGACGGCCGGGTCCAACGGGGCGCTCTTCACTACAAGATGAAGCGGCTTTTTCTTCTCCTTGCCGTCATCTATGCGGGCTTCCCGATGCCAGCAATGTGGTTGACAGTAATGGATGCGCTCCTCGACGATCTTGGCCTCTTCGTACTTGGGCATGCTGACGAGGACTACGACCTCGATGCTTTGCGTCACATAGCGGCGATGAACCCTAAGACCGCACAGCGCCTGCCGTCGAAGCAGAGGAGCACCCCACCGACGGCCGCAATGATCAAGGGGCAAGAGGAAGCAACCGCCCGGAGCATATTCCAAGAATTCTGCCGCTATTTCCGTAGCGCAGTGCTGATGTCGGTTGCCGCAACTAGCCTCAAGAGCAACAATCGGGACGTAGACATGCGATTGTGGAAGGAGGAGATTCTCGACTGGTCCAACAAGTGCAAGAAACCATGCTGTAGGTCGCAAGTTCGGGTGCGTAACCGCCCTGACGGCAGGGTCGATCTCTCCATGGCTCAGCCCGAATCGAGCTTCGGCTTTCCCGCTCAGAGGTATGGTTCCTCGCGGATCGTCCGCCGCCCGTTCTTGACGCCTAGGCTAACAGTATCTAGATCCCAAATCCAGGGTAACAGTATTCCTATCCACCCCTGTCTTCTCGACATCGTATCCGGCACCAAGTTCGATAAGACGCTGGCACCGTTCTACCACTACTTCGCACATAAACATCGTCTCTTCTGCAGGCCAATCACTGGCAAGTCCGGGGTAATGGAGGACCTGAGAGCGCAGAGACAGACCCACGGTTGACAAGGTGGCTGAAATTCAGAGAGCATCAGACACCACGCTGGAGATGGCCGGACAAGCGGTAGGGACTTCGACGGGGAGAGTGGGGGAGAGGGACTATGGAGGCTACCTACAATACAACATCCTGCGTTACTACATCTTCTGCACTCTACTGAAGGATGCTGCGGCACTTTGCGGCTGGAGACTTACCTGAGAGCAACGCGGCTGGTTTATAGTCGAGCCTCAGCTGTACGTAGACATCACGCTACCAGAAGGCTCAACTGAATAAACTTCGAGACCAAAACTGCAGCAAACAGCTTCGGTTGTTACCTGTTGACAGTTCTATGAACAGGTAGACTAAAAGATCGTTGTGGGTACTGTACGCGTAGTGAGGCTTGCATGCGGTGGGGACTTTCGAGAACGGCGCGACGTCCTCGGATCACGTGACTACACCTCCCAACGGACGCAACAGGTGGCCAACATCGTCCTTTAGGTCCAGCCAGATTAACTGCTCTATATTCGAACAGACCTACGATCAAAACAACAGCAGCTTCGGTCCTCTACATACTTTTGCTCACACCGATGAAAAAGCTAAAAAAAATGTCTCTCCGACGGGGAATCGAACCCCTGTGATATTTTGTTAGTAAACGGCTAAGAGAACAACGAAGTCACGTGACAAACCGGTCTCCCGCGGTACTTGTAATCAGCGTTTGATGACAAGCGGAAATCATCACCACTAGACCATCGAAGACAACCAGGAACTCCTGGGATGGATGAGGTAATATTCTGAAAGTTATAGAATATATAGCTAGATTCCTAAAGCGGAAATGGCGCCTGGGCACCTCTCCGGCGAAAACCTCTGGTCCCCAAGTGCACTTGATCGGGCGACAATGTTGCTCATGGCTGGCCTGCGGCGGGGAGAAAGTTTGAAGAAGGTAAGCCGAGTTGGTCATACATGATATCGGCTACCGCTTCCTTGAGCCTTGATTAAAGTGTCACGTGGCTCGATACCATTGGCAACATTATATCTGCATTTTCAATCTACTACCTAGGAATCCCATACGGGACAAGTAGAGTGTGCCTGGCAGACAGCAAATGCTCGTAGTATTCAGCCCAACCTTGTACACCAGTTCCGTCAGAAGATACGCCGCGCCATGCATACGAAGCCTCCCGCCTACACCAACAGCCGCAATCCACCGCCCCTCAAAAGCTAAACAAGGCGCTCTTCTTCTTCCCCGGAAACAGGTAGATAAACCACGAGCTCAAAAACAAGCCAACCGCGATTCCAATCGCAATCTGGACAACGGCAA